AGTCACCCATCCTGAGCCAAGTTAAAAGGGAGACATTTATTTTTTAACGTAACCAAAGCTGCTAAAYTATCAAGATTTCTCATTAACTGCTGGTTTACTAAGACAAATTTTACTATGAACTACTATTATAGTTATGTTTATTGTAAATGGAGTGAGAAAACTATAACTTTATCATTTTAATTTAAATCTGGTTTAGACTGAACGAGATTTTTAGTCTGCATCACAGTGCCCTGAGATGGCTTTTGTTATAATTTCTAAACAGATTTAAATTGTTTTGGGACTTTGAACAGAAAAACTGTGTATTTAGAGAAAATCTGTTACAAATGAGGACGAGAAGAAAAAGAAGAGAATAAACCATTTTCTATTTCTAAACATGACTGCAGTCAGGTTCAGTGACTCTTAGAGATTCTTTGGAAAAGTAGACCTAGACTCCATCAGGCTGACTGTGCACCGAGTACTCTGTCCCCCTACCCCCACCCACCTCCTCCTCATTCTGATCCCAGTGCCCTGATCTTTTATCCTGTCTCTCTTGCATCTATCCCCTCCCCTTGGTGACCGATTAGCCAGTGTGGGGTTCCCTTGTATTTCCATGAGAAAGGCGACAGTCGGTGAAAGGGTTAAGCCTGGGGACACAGCCCCCCCAGAAAGCAGCTCTAATTTTCTACTCGATGCTGGGGGGAGACAAAGACACCCAGGGGGAGAGCTGAGACTTGGTTTTACTATATGCACCTGCGGCCTGAAAAGCCACAGACAATGTGCCTTCGAAACGGCCAATTATGAACAGTTTTCTAAAGAGCTGCGGAGGAGGAGGAGGAGGGGTGGTTACCACTGAAAGGAATGGGGGGTCCAAAAGAGGAAAGTGAATTTTAAAACAGGCTAAAGAGAAGAAAGTAAATAATCACCGCAGACTTTATAGAGACCCCCTACCCCCAGCTGTGTTTCTTCCTGAAAAAGTGCTGACTGAAGTCTCAATGATGGTTTCATCTTTACTGAGATGCCTCAAGATCAGGGACTGATGTTGGACAAGCTTTTCCAGCTCAACTACAGGAAGGATCAGACCATTCATCACAAGAGCTTCATCTCAGACTCTAAAGGCCTCAGTTAGAAGGTTAAAGATTAAAGATTATGCTAGAACAACAAGTGTGGTTTGTTTGGAAGGGTTGCAGGTTTGTTCTTTAAAAACAACATGGCAGCAGCACTTAGGATCGGAGAGTTTCATCTGAAGGAATCTAAAGACTTCTGTAATGAGTTTAGAGGTAACTACCCACAATGCACAGCAGCAAACATAGTAAAGATTACTAACTGGTATTTTATTATGTTTGTGAATGTTTTGTACAGTGCCATGAGTTGACTTTTGTTGTAAATTGGTGCTTTTTAAACTGAATTGAATTCAAACTAGTGCGAATAACTCAGCAGTGGCAGACTGATGATTCTGACTTGTTGGCTGGAGCCATCTGCAGTCACTGAGTTGATCAGGAGCTCCATTAATCGTTAGTTTGAAAACTGTAGTGCAAATACTGGTTCTCAGGAAACCTCTAGTGCAAAGGTGCCCAAAGTGGGGCCCACAGGCCAATTTTGGCCCAGCAAGCCATTTGATTTGGCCCACCAGCAGTTGTCCTGGCTACTAGGTTGTGTATGCTCCAGTTTTATGTAGAAATATTTCCACTTAGCCATTCCAACCATTGGTCCAACCGTATAAAGGGCTGTGGTGAAGACAGTCTTAACTCATGGCACTTTATCTTTGAATAATATTCAAATTAAACATAAAGTACAAGTAACTACAAGAGACATTTAGGTTAGAATTATAGCACATATTTAGATTTGCGCATTTTATAAAACCACAAATACTCAAATTTTAATTTATGAAAAGTCACATCAGCCTTTGTTGTTTGAGTGTATGTAAATTTTTCTGCATGTTCGTAGCAAAAAAATAAACAAGACTTGGGCCACCGCACTGGCTGCTAGCTTAATCATAAAAAAATAAAACTAAGTATTTGCATTTCATGCAATTTCATATTATATTGAATTAGGCTTGTAGTGCTCAATTTGATTTTCATTTTGGCCCCCTCGGGGAAAATGTYTGAACACCCCTGCTTCAGTGGAAGAAAATCTTGTATTATCTAGTTACAAGTCAATTAACWGTTGCAGTAAAACTGATGTGAAGCTAAGAAAAGAAATTAAGTGCACAATGCTGAATCACTGAGGGCTTAAAAGCACACAGTTCCTGCAGGAACAAAAAATAAAATAAATAAGCAAGGACATTTGATTAATCTATTCTCTATTCTTTGCAGGGAGCTCTCTGCCAATCATTGAAAGGCTGAGAACATCCTGGACAGGTCACCAGTTTATCACAAAGCAATCCAAGTCAAAATATCTGAATTTTGTATTTAGCTGCTGTGGGGTAGAAGAGATCATTGTATGTGGTGCTGGTTTCAGCAACAAGTAACYTGGAGCTATCACATCTCAAGCTGCAGCTTTCAACCAGGGACTTGGTTTCTTCATGCTTAAAGAGTTTGTGACTCCTTGATTGTGAGGCACACGCAGCAGGGCATAAAGTCCCAATGTGCAGATGCTGGCGAAGAAAAAGTACATGGTAACATACATAAGGCAGTGCTGGCTCGATATCCCAACCCCAAAAAACAAGACTGGGACAGTATGTTTGCCAGTAAAGGTCCATGGTGTGAACAGTTGTACTCCTAGTTTTAATCAGTCAATGTCAGCCTGAGTAGAGATATAAAATCATGAACCATTATTTTAAAGTCACTCATGAGACCATCTGTCTTCACAGCTGGAGCTTGGAACAAAATGGGTCATGACGCTATTGGACAGTGATCCCAAACACTGCAACAAATCGACAGTGCTCAAAGGAAAGTATCAAGACGCTGCAACAATCCAAAGTCAAGAAACTTGATTCAAGATGCTGTGGGGTGACCTTGAGAGATGAGAAGAAATTTTGAAGAACTTCAACAAAGTTGTAAAAAGTGGGTCAAAATTCCTCCACAACCATTTCAGAGAATAAGTTCTACAGAAAACAGTTCGTGCTGCAAAGAGAGGTTCTGCAAGGTGAAACTATTTTTCTATTTTATCTCAGTTTGAACCTTTTGACTCATGATTGCTACTTACCACTTGTATAAATTCATGTTAATCAGTAGATGTAAATTCAGAGATTAGTTGGGAATTTAATTTTTTGTAATTTTCCAAAAGTAAAAAAAATAATAATACAGTATTCAGCAATGGTTACAACAATAGCATTCAATCTTATTTTCAAGAAATCAAAATAATGTGAACTTCATTATGGTCTGGAATGCCATATAGAGTTTTTAATCAAAAAAAGACTCTTGACAACAAAAAATCCCTAAAAATATTTACAACAAAATTAATATAACCAAGAGTCTACAAAACAGCATTTAAAACCATTAATCTTTAAAAAAAAATAGAAAAGTTCACTTTATGTGGTAATGTAAACATTCACATAATTACTTGAACAGAAATAGGACGGAGTATTAAGGCCACTCAGATTTTTTTT